CATCAAACTAAAATAAATCACATTGATTTAACTTACAAACATTTTCTTTTATACAATGTATCATGGCACTATCTTATGATGTAATTCTTCCGTTTAACGCGTGTCCTGTGGTCCGGAATGGTTAAACGGGTCACTCATCGTACGAACTTGTTCCAACTTGTTGCTAAACGTAGCGATAGTTCCTTGGCTCGACAACAAGTCATAACGACATAAAGTTACAGTAACCACCCTAGCCTCTTATATGGTGTACAGAGTTATATTGCACAATACATCACAAAGTGACATGTAGTAAAGAAACACTAGGCAAAGGAATAAATCACAGAGAACGTGGTCAATAAATCGTCAGCATGCATCATACAATCTAAAAGGAACACAAATAAACTAGCAATTTAATCATAAACTCTGGCGAAACGGTGTCATAAACAACGTTATAATAACTCGCTAGTGACAATAATAGACTAGCATTGAGTGTTCCCAAATTACATTAGAGTGTGTACGGAGCGGCGCCAACTGCCTCCCACCTACTGACATGATACCCACAAACATAAACAAAATCATACAGTTCACTCGTTCCAACATGTAGGGACACTAGTCTTTTCTGAAGAAGTTAAAGTTCTAATTACCTCCGGGCTAGGGGTGACTGACCGCACTGCTCGTGGCCCTGCGCTCCAATGACTGACGACAATTACGTCAGCCGAATCCAGCAGTTCACCGGTACGTAGAATCCGAACCATATTTGATGGCCTATAAAAATTGTTTGCCTTTTGCACCTTAATGACCTTATATGGAAATGAGCAATACAAACCTGACAAGACAATACAAACTATTTAGTCAAATGTTTGACGTCAGTACAGAACTATATAGCCGGTTGCCTACCTATTTCGAGAAACTGCCACATGCGCCACATGCGTCCTTGCAATGTCATTGAATGATGAGAGTGTTACGGGGTAAAGTAAAATTATTTTAGTATTAATAAATTCACCATTATAAATACTAATACTCTTACTATCATGTAAGCTATCGCAATCAATATGAAATAAACCCGGCCGTACCGTGCAACATTTGCGAATAGAAACACGACTATTGGCGTCCTCAAATGAATTATTTATTTCACGTTCGATGCTAAATAAAATAATCGATTTTAACTGCATACATAATAAGTGACCAGTAATGTTTTTTGAATAGCGATGGCGATTATCCATTCAAATACCAGGGACAGCAATAAAATACTTTCCCACAGATTGTCAATGGATAATATCAAGTTACGTCTAATAGTTCTAAATAGTGCTCTAAGTATGGTCTTCCTCGTTATTGGAATTGTTGACCATAGCACTGCGTCATAACTACGTTCCAAAATGTATGCCTTTGTCAAACATTTTGATTGAAGACATGCCGTCAAAGTTACATCACCGCATGTCGTTGGATATAAGTTTAACTTTAACTTGAATAGATTGTTAGTCTATTTATTACATACGCTTTAATAATAAAAGCACGTAAAAAATTAAACTTAGCCACTTCCAGACAATCAAATAGGTAAGTTAACTTAACTACCGCAAATCGATCTTAATGAGATAAAAAGAATATGAAAATGCTTAGTTATGCAGACGTGTGCGTGTAGTTCAAGTAATTATCTTTTTATGTGGTCGATGGCTCGATGCGCCCGCGGCCGCGCCGGCGCTGGCGTTCCCTCAGGAATGCAGTGCCGAACTAGTTTAACAGCTGAGCGTGATGTAACGATAACAGTTGTGTTATCTTGTATTTTTGTCATCGTACGTCATCCATACGGAGGCGGATCGCGTTCTATGCCGCTAGAGATTCGGAAAGTTCCATTATAAATCTCTGTTTGCACCCATTAAAGCACATTATAAAGTCCATATTGCTGCTAGAAATGACCGGTAAGTCGCCTTTAATTTATGATAATCTTTAGATAACTCTAGACCGTCAACCGATAGAGAAAGGTCTTACTGGAGCACCTTGATAAACACTGAGTGCTTCCGTTTCAGCCTTATCTGTCTTTCAAATTAAAGTGAATTTTTCCGAAGGCGTCTACTTATAACTGCATGTTTACTATTCTGAAATTCCTGATTAATTGGTATGCTATAGATAATCGGCATTCTTTTTCTGGCTCGTCGGTCCGTGCGTCCAACCGCGGCCCACGGGCCAGCTGACGTTGACGTAACTCGTGACACGAGTCCACGACATTATCGGCTCGTTGACATAACGATAACCCACACAGACGTGGCGTAGTGTTCACAAACGCTGGGTGGCGCATGTGTGCTGCTAGGTCGTAGGTGTGCGCCCGCGCTCGCCGCCATTCAACTGCGCTAACATCAAACAGTCATCATCATTCGAAATAAACGCGTAGGCCCAGAGGTGACGCTTACACGTTCATTATAGAAAAATGGTTGTGTCAGGAAATTGTGCTAATCATTATTTTATTGTGGCCAGCGTGGCATTGGATACAGTGTTTAAAATACAATTTTGAAGAAATCTGAAACTTAACTAGAAGTTTTGTTGTGGAAATGTCTTCAATTATTGTGAAATTCTAAATCTACACGAAGGTGCACTGCATGGATTCGCTATTGATAAAGTTAAGGAAAATGTTTCCATGTGTTTTTTGCAATACAAGCAATCGTATCAGTTACTTTCGCCCACACAGATCATAAAACCGATAGGAAAGGGTTAGGTTAGCTACGTAGTCCACGACTACGTAGGTGGCATCCTAACGATTTGCTTTTGTTGTAATATTTAACTATATCTTCATCAAAGGGGCATCTAGGTACGTCCTTACCTATACTTTTTTGTTTTTATGTTCACATAACAACAACCTATATCCACGAGAATATTGTTGGGATTGGATGAAAATTTGGACAGATCTTAATCTCAAAAGCAAATCCTTATCTACAAGAATGCGATACAGGCGCTGACGATGACACTCATTCAGGCACTCCAAACTGTCTTTTCTGAATATATTTTATAAATTGACTAGCTTATGCCAGCGGCTTCGTCCGTTCCCGTGAGATAAAAAATAGTCAATGGAAGTTATTCCAGACCATAATCTATTCCAAATATCACCCCTATTCCATCAGCCGATATGACGTGATTGAGTAACAGACATACACACAGACACACAAACTCATTAACTTTCGCATACATATTAGTAAGGATAAGATAACAAAGCCGAAAATCGAATGAAGGAACTTGGCAGATAAGTAGAGCCCGTACTGTGTACTTAAGTCGTGTTCCCCAGTTTTTCATAGTAAATGATGTTCTCATTGAAATGTAAACGACATTCCAACCTAGCTCTTGTGGTCATGGTGATTCAATAGCTTAGTCTTAGTCGGTAAACATTCATTGAAATAAATACAAAACAATTGTTCTGTACTTAGTTAACATATTCTTGGAAACATTACGTCAATGAAAGCCTTGGTGTCTGAGATTATCTCGCTGATTACCGTTGTTTTTTTAATCATTCCAGTTTCTTAAATCTATTACGAAATGTATTTTTGTCGTAGTTATTTGTTTCTTGTTCAGTTAAATCTGTATAAGATGATGATAAGATTTTATTCATGTAGACGTTTCGTAAAAGCACTATTTAGCTAAAGCCATGATTTCCAGGATTGTGTTTATGCAATTAGACATATAATACTAAATTAAATATATACTAAGTAGGTACGTAAGTAGCAAAATGGAAGAAAAAATACTTAAATATATATTTTTTAATGTGCGATAAATTCAATCTGTGGAGTAATAGAAATTTTTACTCTGTTTTTTTTTATTTTCAAATCGATAACTTAAGTATTAAAGATATGAAAAGAACTTCACTTATTAGAAGAAATTCCGCAGAAATTGTCTTCAAATTAATTAATAGTATAATAATATCTTAATCAGTTACTCTTTCGTTTTCGTTACATACATATTTATTAAATAGGTATATGTGGCTATAAAAGTCTGTAACAAATGAGTACAATATAAAATTTCATGTAATAATATCTACAAAATTCGTAGCCAGTATTCAAACAATTTACGCTTACAAAATAACCCAACAGGTGTCACACGATACCTTTTAATTATAACCACGCGAACGAAGTCCACATTTTAGTGTCAAATGTACACATACAAGTACAGTCGAATGTACTATTTAGTATTTATTTTATTTACTTCTCCCGTGACGATAAAGGTTAAGTTAGATAAGCACTTAATTTTACACCATTAAAAACCCCCGAAAGGAAAAAACATGTCCTACTTGAGTCACATGTAATGTACAGGTGACATCATGCAGTTATTGGGCTGTGTATGTGTGTGTGATTAAATTCACACATGGTTGAGTGCGCGCGCGCCACCTCGCCGCCGACGGCGTCGCCAGCGCAGCCCGCCGTACACTTCCCCGAAGACATACGAATTATTCATAAGGAAACATTAATTTTAGAATACTTATTGTCTAATTAAAACTCTTAAAGCAAATATACAACTCGGAATATATACATAATTAGATAAAAGTTAACTCTTTGAACAAATTCACGGCTGCTTGCGTTTTTAATGCTTTACTAGAAACAAATTTATGAAAGGCATAGCAACTGTATGTAACAGTAGTATGTATTTAATACACATACTGTTTCGTTAGATAGAAGTGTGACTGCCTTGTTGGCCGAGTGATTGCAAGTACAACTGACGGGCAAGGGGACCCGGGAAAAAGTATTACTAAGTTTAAAAAATCTCAGTGTGGAGTCTGAAATTGTGCCCGGTATATGGCAATAGGCTCACCCCCTATTACATGGGACTCGTAACATAAATAGGGAAAAGTGGGTGTTACATTGTATAGTGGCATTAAGTGCTGCACCTTTGCCTACCCCTTCAGGGATAAAAGGCGTGATATTATGTTATGTTATGTGGTGTGTGTTATATTTCAAAATTCAGCAAATTGACTCAGCGTTTTCAATCGAGCGTTAATTATAGATAGAAAACCAATAGAAAATTAAAGTGATTATTTTTTGTTACAGATTTAATGAAACTCGTACAAACGGTGTGGTTGCATCAGGGATAAAGAAGGTAGACAAACTATATTATGAACCTAACCTAAACTCGACTTAGTCAATGAAAGCCATATGTAATAGGTGTCAGCTCTTTTTAGCACAATGCTATATATAAGTCGTACTGATTCTGAATCATAATGAAGAAACGACGGACGGAAGGACATGGACGAGGTTATGCCGAATTCTGGGAAGCCATAGGACGAAGACGAGCGACAGCAGGGTTAACGATTCCACACCGCACTGCGCTAACACAAAGCGAATTGTTTCCAGAAATATTGACACTAACATCCCACACGCGTTTATTTATACCTAGGTACATACTACACTACGTAAAGACGGCGACCTAGTCTAATCTGTCCATTTTTTTATCCGATTTTCAGCCTTATGATTTGACAGGAAAGTTGAAAATCTATTATACTCCTCGGAGTAGTTTGCTGCGAACTCTACATAAATATATCTCATCTTTTAATATTAACTAGGTTTGATATTTAGAAACGTGTTAAAAATCACACACACATAACTAAAAAAACCTATTTATGCATATAGAAGCTATAAAAGAGAAGCAAAGAAACGAAGAAATTAAATGACCGGTGAATTTGTTATCTTTACCCTATCCATAGCGCTATCTTAATTAATGACTGCCATCGCGCCTTTACGAATATTAATAACGATAATGTTATGTATTATTTGCAAATGAGTGGCCCACATGGCCTAAACCAATTACTAATAGCCTGACTTGTGATAAATATTGCTAGCTCCATGACGCGGCGTCGTTCGAGCCAATGTGATTCATAATTCCCGGATGCACGCATAATAAATATTAATGAATTAATTTGAGGCTAGTTCTAGCAATAAATAATAATGTAAGTAACTAAGTTAGTGGCACTGTCGGGCTCCAGTTTCTTGCTTACGTAATGATTTTATTTATAATTCGAGTTCATGTAGATTGATGCATTAAAAATTATATTTATTTAGTTATTTAGCAGTATTTTCAACTAAATGTAGTTCCTAATTAATTCAAGTAGAAAATTACATCAATTAATCTATTCCATTCCAAGTGAATTAATTCTACAGTGCATTTGATTTCTCTAGGAAATCCAGCCGCGGCCGCGGGTCTTCTTCAATCTAAAACCAAATCGTAGTTGAATGTCAATAAGATGTCGATCGGCATCATTGAATGTTCTCAAATGAAACGAGCGAGGGTCAACTGAGCGGCGAGATGATAAAAACTGGCGTAAAATATAATGGCGTCGGGCTAGGTATTGTGATGACGCGGTGCTCGCCGGGTCAATGACACCTGACTCATGTCCTGTGCCGCACTCGCCGAAGACATTCGCTGTGTAAATGATAAGTAGCGAAATATTATTTGAAATACACTCAAGTCTTAACCAGCTACTCACATTTTAAAACTTTTTTTATCAACCAACAACAGGTACCTAGAACTCTATTTCGACAGACTGTCATCATTCATGTATATTTGAAATATTAATTATATTAACCTATCCTTGGTAAAGAATGACTAACGATATAATTTTCTTCGCCACATTAAACACAGCGGCGATCACAATAAACTATGGAATACTCGTTTTATTAACCACAAATCATATTAGAGGTTAATACACTAGAAGTATTCCGGACAGCAATTAATAAGGAGATACTCGGAAGTGAAGTGCATAAAATATATTAATCACAATGCGACCTCATTCCACAAAGCACTGACCTGACGACAGTTATGAAATAGAGGTAATATTCAAGAGATAAATACAAGGAAAATAATGGATCTATTTATATTCCTTGGTATAGACTGCTTGACAGAAATGAGTCATAGTTTAGTTCAGAAACTCACCCTGCAGCTTTCGTTTTAGAGGTCATCCATATTATTATTTGTATTGACCGAACTTGTCTCAACTTGTTTGTTTGAATAAAACGAGGCCGATTCTTTAAAACTGTAAACATTACCAGATCCGTTATATATTATTCATTTCAATATGACATATTATGTCGCCAGAGTACATGAAGCTGGTTCAGTGTTCGTTTAAACGAACACGTAGCGACATGTTTGGGGTCTCCTTAAATCTTCTGTCCCGCTCGTTTTAAGGCGTGTCGTAGCAATGGAAATACTTTCAATAACTAAGTTAAAAATTGAGTACTTATCCCATTGAAATATGATGTCATGTTTATTACCCATGACTACTAATGTCCTTTTACTTTCAAGTAAATATGTGAGTCAACAGTAAGTAATGTCATCGTGGAAAACCTGTGGTCTTTCCAGGGATATTTCAAATTAAAATTCCCATTACTAAATACCATCTATACTTGACTCATTACTAACATTATCAATAAATAATTATTTATGAGCAAAATCTTGAAAATTTTGTGTTAAACCTTGAAAAACATCATTAATAACGATATCCATCAAACAATCTTCAACAAAAACTGGTTCCATAAATTGCACCGTCTCAAAAATGATTATATTAATTAAATCCTAATCATGGACCCAGGAATTGTGAAGGCAAGCGTCGAACCTCCGGCCCACAGACTATATTAGGCAGGATCAGTCGAACCGGACCGCCTCTGATTAATTCAGACTAAAAAACGAAAATATGTGGACCGCAAATTATATTTCCGATTGCAATAATGCATTGCAAAACAAAATAAAACTTGTTTCAATTTTTTATACTCGATAACCATTTATAATACAAAAAAATAATTGTTAAATTGCTTTTTAACTGTGTCTGAATGTATACTACTATTAATTCACCTTTCAAGTAACTACTTCAGTTTTTATTAAGAAAGGAATTCTGACGCAATTTTGTTTTCACAACATTCACCTCAGGCACAGGTATTTCTATTGTGCCTTTATTATAATAAAATATAGAAGAAATAACAAACTTAACTCGTTATATTATTATAAATACTTATTTGAACTAAAAGTTTATGTCAATGGGTAGAGCACGTGGCTTATCTTGGATGATTTTTATTTATCTTTTCGATTACTATCAACTTCCTTATGTTCAGTTCACAAGAAAAAGTATAATAAAAAATATACTACGTTAAAGGAAAACAAACTCCATTTTTATATATACTTAGTTGCTACACAAACTCCCTTCCTACTTTGACCTATAACCATTTTATTCCCGCGTAGAGCCAATATTGCTACGGCGTAGCACTTTGCTACGAAGTCGCCTTAGGGAAGAAGGAACAATTTAGGACAAATGCTTCTATTTTTTAATACGTGTTTCGGAGTTTATTTGTTAGTTATTAATCGATAATGATTTTTAACTGGTATAAGGTAGTTTTGTATAGAGTTTTACTGGATATGAAAATACTCAAAATATTAGAAATTCAGAGACATTTTTGTTATTTATTTCTATAAGTTTACAATCAAATCGTAGGTGACGTAGTTCTAGTAATTGAATGCCATTTCTATAGATATGTACTTAAACAAAAATATCAGCGCTGCTTATCATACAAAAACGATTTATTAATGGACTGGGGCATTATAATTTAATAGTATTTGTTATAAATATTATCTATAAGTCGAATATCGTTCTTCGAGGCTACCGCCTGTGCCTATATCTAATTTCCACGAAATGTGCGGGCTGGTGGCAAGTTCGGTGCGCCCGCGCAGCGACATCGACCAGCGACGGCGACGCCAGCGCTGGCTGACGTCACGACACCCAAGTTGCATGCGCCATTTTGATAATAAAACAGATAATAATTACCACCTATCTAACAAGTCATGGTCGATATATTTACATAAATATATTCATACACAACATAAAACTATATGAATATTTCATAGGTTACAATTTTTCAGTTACTAATCCGTATTTATTTTATGAATTAAGTATTGAATTGAACACAAATTCTGGGTACGACTAATTTAACGTAGCGAACGTACGAGTATGAATTAATCAGCGCATCAAATGTATAAAACCATAGTTTATCCTCCTACTTTTGTGAATAACTCATAACTGGGAGGAAAATACTGTTTTAATTTACCTAGCTCTTAATTAAATCGTGCAAAATATTGCAGGCTTAGTGCTTTATCTCGCGGGTACGGGAATCGCTCGAGCATGACCACATTAGCATTTATCTATTCGTGCTAGACGCCAGACGGCTTCTTATTCTAGCTATTTAATTGAGTAATTGAAATGGGCGTTAACATCTCCTGTTACACTCCATACTACTTTGCCTAAAACTATTATGAAATGCATTGGTACTTAATCTTTTTTTATTACTAAAAAAGTATAATTTACGTAAGTACCCAGTTTGAATACTACATAAGTATTGTACTATACAGTAATAATATGTTTAAAATACTGATACATAATACAGTAGTCTAACCGCTAAACAAGAGAAGTTATTTAGTAAAATATCTAGGCCCGTATGTCATTCACAAGATTACGTCGAAAGGTCGTCACGCTGAAATCGTGTTGTTACCGACGCGACGACAGCGCCGCGCTGCGGTGCGCGTGCGACGTTCACACTGGTTCAGACGGCCCGTTCCCGCCAAAACAGTCGCAGGCTGTGGCGCGAAGGCTCGTGATTGGTCGGCTCGGGCGGCGGCGGCGGCGCGCGCGCAAGGCCGCCGGTTTTCCCGCGAACAATGCCAAATGGTGCATTTGTCAAGGTGAGTTCGTTCACCGCCGACGCCGGGCGCCGCGCGCTCCTCCGACGGACATTCGCCACAGCATTCGCTCGCTTCGCGCCGATCGAAGGTCGACGGAAGGCAACCGAGTGCTTATTTCACTCCACACCGAATCTACATCCATTAGCATCCGCTCTTTATTACAGGTGAATAACTTGTTTTATCTTTTTAATTATTTCACTTATATGCTTACACTTTAAATTAATTTAATTACCGTACTTCGTGTAGAAAGTAATGCATTGTTGTATCCTACATTCACTTGAGATATTTTTTGTTGCTAAGTGTATGACGTGTTAGTTTTATATGCCTCTAGTTTTATAAGACATTAAGCTGTTGTGAATTGGGAGACACGAAGAGTGAAGAGAAAAACATGAAGAAAGAAGAACAGTATCAAGTGCTACGCCCGGACGAACTTCCCAGCTCGGCCGACATACACGGGTCGGTGGGATCTTCGTCCGTTTGTATCGCTTATACGTTTTTTTCTACAAACAACATTAAAACTGCGGAGGAGCTGAAGAAAATTACTTGCACTTTGAAGCCTAACTTCCTCATATGAGAATGTTACACCGTGGGATAATTTTGCAGATTGAAATTTTTAAGCGGAATGTCTCTCCTTATTAACCTTACTTAAACTGTCAAACACCAAGCGGTCACCGGTGACCGCAACCTATTGTTCTGTAATTGTGTCTACAAAACCGGTACTCGAAGAGTTAATGGTAACATAATTACAGAAGTAATTCAGCAACTGCTTTGTTCCGTACATGTTCACTAACAAACTGTTGTGATGACGCACTAAAGCAGTCACAGTGGATAGAACGGTGTAGTTAATGACCAACACGTAAAAATAAAGGAATAAACTTTAAAGTGACCTAAAACGCAATCGTCATTAAATGCTTAATTAATATTTAATTATTGTAAATATGGTAATGCACATAATTAACGATTTGAGCGTTTATTCAGTTTTCGGTAAGCACCAACAGTGATAGTGATTAAACATAGGTATGTATTAGTAGTATAATAAATAATGTATGTAGGTACTGTTAATATAGTATTTTTGTATTTTTAAAAAGGTTGACGTAAGACTTTTTGGTATGTCGTTTTAGGCCTAAATGTATTTCAAAACATTCTAAGAAATGTTTGTTTGGTTGTAGATGAAATGAATTTTGTTTATATCTTTATTAAGTTTATTTTTGTTATATATATTAAATTATTTTAAAAATATGTTACCATAAAAGTCATCCCTATGGTTAATTATGTCTACATTATGCTTACAAAATTGTAAGCAAAAATCTCAATTCTAAAAACACTTTTTAAGCAAAGTGCTGAGGATAAACTTCACCTACAATACATTTTCATAGAACTTATTGAACTCGTGCTATGTACTCTAATTAAATAATATAATATATTACCGCGAAGAACTAAGAATCTTCTTACTTTACGAAAATCAGATCAATTTATTTGTATGTTACACGGAAAATAGAAAACATTATTGGAACTGGAATGAGAGTTTCCGATGTTGCATCCGAGAGGCGGCAGGCGCTAGTGAGGCGTATGTTTCAATTAGTCCAAAGAGTAGACCTGCAGCTACACAAGCTTCTTGTACCGCAAACAGGCTCACTATTTAATTTATATTTTTTTATGTGTAGCTAGCTGTAGACACATATATTGGAAGTCGCAAATAGGAATCAATATTTAGTGTAGAAATTTGTTATAAATCATATTGAAGTCAGTGAACAATAATGGAAAAGTCCAAGCCAACTTAGTTTTATTCATAAAGTAGTTAGTTTTGTCATTATGTAGGATTTAATATTAATTATTTTCGTCGCACTGTATGTATTGTATTTAACGAACTTAAATCAAGTTGGTCAAACAAACTACTGTATTAAAATGTCTGTACTTACAATGTACCTACTAAACGAACTGAACTGAACTGAAATTACAGAAGTATGCATACTGTATTTATTTTGTAAGGATACAACAATATATTGTTATTTTCTTTTGACTATAAATTAGTGAAAATTTACTAAGCATACTATAAGTAAAGTTTTTAATAATTATTATTCAAGTTCTATGCTAGCGTACTAAACAATCTTAGGTATATGAAGGAAGAAATGAAAATAAGAATCATACTGAAAAAAATTATCTACATAAATTCGACGAACCTTTTTAGTGAGCTCCTCAGTAAGAAAAAGGTCTTGCTGTTGTGTCACCACTAACCAGCTCTTTTAAAAATGAGATTCCATAGGTATTATTTAAAAACTACTTTCTGGCTTCGCCCATGGTCCCGTGACATAAAAGTAGCCTATGTGTTATTCCAGACCATAATCTACTCATGTTCCAAATTTCATCCCGATCCCTTCAGCCGTTTTGCGTGAAAGAGTAACAGACACACACAAATGAGGAGTCGTTGGTCCTCAAAAACTTTCCCATTTATAATAGTATAGTGCACCTATCCTCAGTGATATAGTTCGTGGTACGAACCACAGAAGAGTTCATGACATGAGTATTTGAAAATTTTATTCCGTTGACACCCCCGTACAGAGGTCAATTCTGCCATTATATAGATTACATTTTGACGAGATAGTGCTTAGATTTTGTCAAGTTGTCAAAATCTACAATTTTGTCAAATATGCAATCAATGGTGATCGAAGAATCAATGTTACACAATTTTGCAACTATTTTAATAGCAGACTAGGGTCCCTGGTGTTGTGATTTGTCCTCATAATATGGTATTTGACAACTAGTCCAATTTAATACTTTTTTCGAACTGTCAAAAACGACAGTTTTCTATGAATTTTGTACGAGATTGTTAATCGTGACGTCACGGTTTTTTAGCGTCAACAGCGTACTTATTTCCTGAAAATTTACTGGAAATATAGTAAAAATAAATTGGTCATAAAATCAATTAATGAAAGTGTGATTATTTTTTAATGTTTTTTTTTTAATATTTTATTGTGTTGAGCAGTCGAAATAATATATTTTTGATTAAGGAAAGTACCTACACAATTTCTTTGGAAGCTACACTACAAAAAATATTATCCAACATAATAATTACTCATTCGGATATCCGAATAATATTACTTTGTTAGCTTTTAATTTTCTTTTTTTAAATATCATAGCGGTTTCATATAATTAATTGATTGTGTAATGTGTAGGTATTTTATGATGCTAAAATACTATTAACTAAATTTTAAGCCTTATCGAAATCAGGATGATTTTTTTAAAGGTACCTTTGTATTTACCTCATCTTAAGGACGGTGGAAAGAAATGTTTTCAATAAAAATATCCTACTGAATAATTTTATTGAGTACAATAGGCAGTCACATATCTAATCTAATCTTTGTAATAGGTAATTGTAGTTCAATAGACAGCTTGAAATTCCATTTTGCATAATCTTATTTATTTGGCCAATTTAATACATTCATTTTCCCGGACGCACAAAGATATAGGTAGGTACTTCCAGTTTCATAATCGATTCCTTCCTATGTAAGATGTTACTTACTTATTTTGTAAAGAAATATAACAATCTGATTGCTTACAAGCTAGTCTAAGTAACTTTGATATTCTATCGTTTTCTGAGAACGTAATGTATTTATCTACTGTGCTATTTATGGCAAAGATTATCTCGATTTAGTACAACATACGTGTTGATTTGTGCTAGTAACTTGTTGACCTGCTTACTTGTTTTTATATTATCATTATTTGACAAATACTCGAGTATTTGTCTCTAGTAAATAAACTATAATCAAACTATAACCTAAGACCAGGGCGCTTACTCTTGAAACCAATCTTAATGTCATTGCAATTTTAATCGAATAAAATCTCAATAGTTATTCATTAAAAACATACATTTACAACCCCTTCCGTAGCAATTAAAATAGCATTCAGGGTACAGAATACACAGCCTAACTTAAAGGTGCTCTCTCGCCGGAAGCATTCGCGTGTAATGTACGTTACAGGTCTGAGCATTACATCAGTGAAGGAGTAGAACCGAGCATTACAATGCGCACCTTGTAATGATACAAAACGGACATACAATACTGAAGAAGAAGAACCGAGTATTACAATGCGCACCTTGTAATGATACAATGTGTAATATCTTGATACAACTTGTAACATATCTAAATGCGCTCCAATTCCCCCAGCGCCTTGCTATGAAATGCACAAAGTCGAATCAATATGTTACATTACATGCAAATGCTCATTAGTCAGGGAGGTATTATTGTAATGTAATGCTCAAAGTTGAATCTATAATGTTACATGACACGTGAGTGCTCCCGGTGAGGGAGCACCTGAAAAACCATTTATTTCATTAAATATCCAAGCAATACGGATGCAATGAGATATTACAACACAAGACTATGAAACATAATCCTAATGTCGATCGATCGGAATTGAATTCAAGAGTAGCGGAGCCTCTTGAGAGCAGGTAATCCATCCTAGATGGACGAAGTCGCAATAATTAGAAACCTATGTTACCTAATAATTAGTGTAACATTGAGATCGTAGCGCCAGTAGCCACCCTAGAAAAACGTATGCAGGACGTATGTAGTAGAGATAGTATAACACATTTACACATTACACGCCATGCTGTGAGGAACAACATAAAATATGGACCACGATAGCGAACGACCTTTGATTATATTATGTCTACTTAGATAGAGCGTCACCATTTTTTTAAGGGGGAAAATCATCGAATGACTGCTCCCGCCTGGGTGAGGCGGGATGTGTCAGACTCTTACTGACTAAAAACCACGCCGTTCTTTCTCCTGCATGTTGAGCCGGAGCTCCGGTAACCCGTTAGGTTCTCCGCGACAGAGCGTCACCAAACAATAACAACAAAATGACGTTCCAAAATTTCTTGCATGTGTGCGTGCGGCTTGTGGTTTATACGGAGCAAAAATGATACCAGCTACGACAGAAAATCTCTCATTCATATTTAGGGGTACATGTACCAGACCATTTACAAGTAAAATAAAAAAAATTGTAACCATCTCTTTGAATTTCATTTTAAAGTTTGTTTTATTTGACACTTCGTCGATATTTTGTCATATAAGTAATTTATTTTCCGTATGAAAGGAATAATTAAATATTCATATTAAGACGTTTTTAACATTATTTCTATAAAACCAATTTATAAATATTATTTCCTTTATTTATTTTCATACTTGATTTATATATTTTTAAATATTTCATTATATGTATATAAAAAAAAAAAAACATTTAAAAATATAAAAAGCAGTAGCCCACCAGTAACGGGAGAAATCCAAGCTACCGGTGGTCAGGGCTCCAGAGAAAGGAATTTCCGGACAATAAATATTATTATTATTATATTATTATTGCAGTTGCACACTTTTCATCAAAAAATATAACTAAATCGATTTAATCATTTCAAAATAACTGTCGAAAATCGAAACTCAAGAGAAGGGAATATTGAAAAATAATTGGCGACACTGTTTTTATGGCGGCAATTAGTTAGGTCAAAAACATAAATTGAATAATGTAATTTTTAATTACTTAGCGATGGATATGTGATCTGTGTAGTACTTTTTAACCGTCATTTATAATTTTAGCACAATTTTATGAAGCATGTGGCCATTTTGGCAGTGTTCTTTTTTAGTTTACAAAATTTTGTAGCGTGCATGCACGTAGTGACAAGCCTAGGTGACACAATTGGTACTACTTGACGGGAAAGTGCATTGCAGTGAACAGTTCGCTGCAAATTTATGTGCCACTTTTTGTGAACTGACACTCCATCTAGACATTATATAATCAAAGCGGACGACTTGCCTTCAACAGTTTTCTGACGACAGTCAAAGAGTCAAAGCCCCGTCTTGCTTCTCGGTGATTAATGCGTTGTAAACTAAAAAAGTATGTATGAATCCTACTAGGTGGCGCTCTGCGGATTCTGTCTATCCTATCCCAACAGGACAAAAGCATGAGTTTATGTACCTAAGTATTATATCGTTTCCACCACCGGGCCTTGCACGTATTAGGTAACGGAAAATTCTTAGCCTATGTGTTATTCCAGGTCCAGACTGCAATCTATCTATGCCAATTTTCATTCAGATTCGATCTTTTGAATTTCGAACTTTCGATTGAATTCAGAACTTCAAAAAAAGAAAGAAGTTCTGTATTTAACCATCACGTATATCTATCCGTGTGACTGTTTTGCGATTAACTGAATCGATTTTGGTGCCGTTTTCAGAAAAAGTGTAAGTTATATTTAGGAGCAGGTTTTAAGAATTAGGTAACCGACTTTATTAAGCAGATTTTTATAGAAAAAAAAATATTTCATTTTGGTATAATCATTTTTTGACACGTCATTGATGACAAAATGTGTCCTTTGCATACGAGTTGATGTTTTCAGAAAATGAATAACATTAAAGACTCAGTTAGTGGACTGATTTAAATTTTACAATTATTTGATGAGTAATGTAACGTTCACCATCTCATCTCTAACAAGGTCCGTACAAAATATTTGCTATTGAGGTACAATCCGGTGACCTTTGCTTAGAATGGGCCCATTTATATAAAATATAAAATATCAAACATACCTTGACCAATAGATACAATAGCTTATGATGATAGAATAGAACTGGTCTTGAAGAATTTCCGTGATCCGTACGAGAATCGAACCCGCGACACATTTTGCGGTAGTCAATTGCTTGGCCAGTGCCAACCTGTGGAGTTTTTCAAAGAAAGAAAGAAAGAAAGAAAGAAAGAAAGATTGTTTATTTGTAAAACATGCGTATACATAATTTGTATACAAAGTTGAACAATAATGACCTACTACCCTACCTACCCTCTTTTCGTACCTACGTACTGTTGTAACGTTCGCAAGTTATCCAAGTTTATTTAATTCTTATAAATAATCAGTATACTCGTCAATGTTATAACCAGTTCTGTATACTTACGGCAGTTAACAAATAAACTACAAAATCAACGCAGCTCTTGTATGAGATATAAATAGATGCGTGTCGTACCGCCGAGTGGCGTGTCTTGTTAGTCAGCCTTTAATTCGCAACTGCGTCATAACTGTGTAAACTAGCTAGATTTCCCCAAAAACATTTGTTTATGAAGTAAACTATTCAATTCAATGCATATCATGACGTCAATCAAGTATCCATTTCAGTTTAAAAATTCAGGCAGTAAATAAAACACAGAGGTTTAAACAAATCAATATTATTTCCAATAAATTTATCAGTACATCCACTTTGAATGCATATTAATTTTACTCAATAAAATACAACATAAAGTCTTCGACAGCATGAACTAAACATAAGAACGAGTATAAGATATAATTTATTTACAATAAGGTGGTTTAAACACAAAATAAAACATTGAACATAACAAAAATCAGTGCAACAATAAAATAATAAATATTTAAGACAGTGGACTTCAACGTGGTAGTTATAATAATTCTAAGGATATATTCAATCGTTAGTTACACGAGTTTGTTACAAAATTATCTATTGGCCTCACATCACAGAGCTAAGCGATCTCGAGGGTCGACCGTAACGTGAACTGGCTGAGATGTGTCTCAACTAAATAATAACATGCTTCCTCGCGCACAACAACTCAAACTAACGCCCAACAAACTAACAGTGGCACGACAACATTAAAACCGAAACAAAACTTTGACATGCACAGGGTCCACTTGACCCCGTGACTCTAAACCAAAATGCATCCCTGCTGCGTAATATTGTCAAAAGCCCAATACACCAGAGCTGCGCGTAAATACGTCCACGACAAACGAAGGGTCATATAGGAGACAAAACTTTGTAAATAAGCTCTATAAAATGTAAAAAACGTCATGCAATCAACTCTACGTCGATTCTAAAGACTAGAAAAATGCAAACCATTCAAAGTAACCGGACGTCCGTGTTTGTCGACGAATAAATGCCCACACCGTGTACCTAACAATGATATGTTTAGCTCCCGAAGCGATGAGACAATGTGAGATAGCTCTGCTGCGGCCGCGAGTCCGTGATGCCGTCCGTGCCCACCAGTAGACCGTAATAAAAAGATGAACACACTATCAATTATACCTAAAATATTCAACAAGGGAAATCAGCTGATTCGAGTAGTCACCAAATGTCGCTCGGCTGAGAATTTCGATAGCTCTCATACAATACAACAATAATTACTATAACTTAGGACAGTCGTTAGGCCTTAAAATTTAAAATGTACAGTTATTTATTATGGCAGATATCAACAATCAATTTATACTATATCGATACGATACTGACACTTTTTACAGAAACAATACTAAGTTATATACACTCATGCGATAACAACGTGCACCGACCCTCGCGGCGCGATCACGCCTCCTCGCTAGCAAATGGCACTTCATTCAAGCTCCCGCTACCGTCCCTTCTACTCCGTCGACTGCCGCGGGCCGAGGGCGCACAATAAACTGACTCTATCGTTATATCAATTTATAAACTCTAATTACTCTAATCCATAAATATACCGAAACCCCCGGCCGGCGATCGCAAACAAGAAGCGGCGTTTATAATATTCGTAGTATTCAAAACGAGGTACCGACGGGCCTCGCCCCGGGCGGCGCGCTCGGTCGGCCGGCGCTAGGCGTACCCGGGCGGGTCCCACGTGGCCGTCCATCAGGACGCGCGCGGCAGCAACACGAAGTACAGCGCCGCGGCCAGCAGCGGCACCGCCAGCGCCAGCACGTGCCGCAGCGACAGCGCGGGCAGCGCCGGCTTGCTCTGCAGCGCCGCCAGCGCCGCCGCCAGTCGCGCGCGCTCGCCGCAAGCCTCGGCCCAGCGCTCCTTGGCGCGCACCAGCTCGTCCTCCAGCGCCAGCAGCGAGCCGTTGTGCAGCGCGTCGCGCAGGCGCTGTCCGTCGTGCACGCGCACGTACCCCGGCCCCCCCGCGCCGCCCTCGCCTCCGGCCGCGTCCTCCGCTCCCTCCGTTTCCTCTGAGCCCGCCTCCTCCTCGTCGCGGTTGATCTCGGTGACCGCGGAGTCGGTCTCCTCCTCGTCGTCGTCGTAGTCGAGGCGGAACATCTCGTCAATCTCTGCGGAGATCTTGCCGGCATCGATGGAGCGCTCGGCCGTTTCTTGGCTGTCGCGCGGCTCGTCGAGTGGTGCGTCGGTCTCCACGGCCTTGTCAGCGACGGCACGCTCGCGCACGGTGGAGGTGCGCAGCCTCTCTATCTGTTGGTCCCGCGCCAGTAGCTCAGCGCGCAGTTTGCCCACGACGGCAGTGAGGTCGTCGATATCGGCGCGTGTCGGCCGGAATGCTAGTTCGGCTTGCATCTCGGCGACACTCGACGCTAGTCGTTGAATCTCAGAAAGGTTGGACTCCTCAGCCACAGTCGAACGAGTGAGTTGAGCCTAGAATAGTAAAGAAAAGTTATAAAGGTAATGTTGTTGAAAGTGGGTGTTAATTAAGGAGTCGTAAAAATACTTTACCCTACTCTGTTGGGCAGCACACTGGTGCAGCTGTCGCGCACATAACTATTATTGTTGGTATATTTAACTTTTAAATTTTGTATATACCTACATCTATTTTTTGTGTTTTTGTTTTTTTATTTCAGTCCTAGTTTTGTTTGCATTGTATTTATTGTATTGTGTTTGTGCCTGGTGTTGTACCGAATAGCTTTCTAGCTAGCTGATGATAACAATGATGGATGAGTAACTCGTGCGTCGTGTTACCTGCAGGTCGGCGATGCGCGCGCGGTAGGTGGCGGCGTCGTCGGCGTCGAGCGGCGGCGTGTCGTGGGCGTCGTGTTCTGGCTGCGCGGCGAGCAGCTCGTCGCGCGCGGCCCGCAGCTGCTCGTTGTCGGCGGCGGCGGCGCTCAGTCGCTCGCGCAGCACTTTGATCTCCTCGTTCAGACCCGCCATCACGCGCAAAATGTTCGCATACTCCACTCCCGCTTTACTCTGTACACAAATATATGATTTCGTTTGCAGATTTGTTTTGTTTCATTTATCCCTTTAATATTATTTCTTAAAGTAGTGTAGGGAAGAAGGAACACACGATTTTAATACTGAAAAAGACAGTTCAAATCACAAAAAATGGCAGTTACAATGTGCATCATATAAAACTGCAACTTAAATTAACAATGAACGTTACAGACAATTAACCATCATAATTTCTGTAATCAGAATTATTATTATTATTATTTCTACTTCACAATTTGAGTCATTGCACTGATCAGAAGATCGTCCATGCAAAATCCACCTTAATGACGTGTTAAGATCATTTCCTAGCGACCAAGTAACAGGGGGGCGACGTATGCGCAGTGGGCGGGACGCGGCTGGCCCCGCCCACTGACTCACGCGCTGCAATAAAGAACAAAGAGCATCGTACGAACTACCGCGCCGTGAAATTGTGCATTAACATACGTAATGATACGCTCGCCTCCTGCACCACCCTTGCAACGCTACTGTATTATACAGAGCATTACGATTATTTACCTACATTATTTATTAAATATAAACTAGAAACGACATATTTATCAAAACGAAGACATATTAAATATGGCGTCCCTCAGGGCAGCGTTCTTGGGCCGTTACTTTTTCTGATATATATTAATGATTTACCGAAAACTACATCACACAAAATGGTCCTATTTGCAGACGACAGTACAGTCATCATAAAATGTAAAAATGAACTCGACTATGAAAATGAGATCAATAAATGCTTATATGATATCATCAATTGGCTTAACAAAAATAATTTAGTAATTAACTTAAACAAAACAAAGGTTATGCACTTTCATCAGCGTCGTCATCAAGACAATATTAAAATCGCGTATGAAAACCGTTGTATCGAGCAAGCAAATAAAACCAAGTTCTTGGGTATAGTCATTGACGACGTCCTCAGCTGGAAGCCTCATGTTGAGGAGTTATGTAAAAGGTTAAGTAAATCCGCATACGCGCTTTTCCAACTTTCAAAAAAAGTAAACCTTCAGGCTCTTCTTGCAGCATACCATGGATTCGTTGCCTCGGTATTACGCTATGGCATTATATTTTGGGGGCAGTCTACAGATAGAGAGCTTGTGTTTAGAATGCAAAAAAGATGTTTAAGGTCAATGTGTGGTCTGAAGACCACAGACAGCTGTATTGCACACTTCAAATCACTAAAAATATTAACATTGCCCTCCATGTATATACTGGAAACAGCTGTATTTGTAAAACAAAATCCTCACTTATTTCCAAAATTGAGCTCAGGCAGGAATGTTCCCTTACGCACCCAATATATTAATAAACTAAGCCAAGTAAAATGTAAAACAGCACTTATGTACAAAAGTTTGTTTGGTAATGCCCCTAGAATTTATAATAAGATTCCCAATGAAATAAAAAATACAACAGTAATTAGATTTAAAAGTATTCTCAATAAATTATTATTAAACAAATGCTATTACTCAATTGAAGAATTCCTTAATGATAATATTTTTTGACAAATTTAATTTATTTCTTGACAATTTCAATTTTTTCTTGACAATTTTAATGTATTTCCTGATAAATTTGATAATTTTAATTGACATAATTTTGACATACCTTATTTTTATTATTTTATTATTATTGTACAAATTTAACTGAAATTGTAATATTCTAATAATGTTCAAATGCATGTACCTAATATATTTGTATGTCTATCACGGCAAAACATAGTGGACTATCTTTATATGTAAGACCTTATTATGTAAACTACCTATGTTTAACAAATAAATGATTCTGATTCTGATTCTGATTCTGATTCTATAACAAAGAATTAGACATCACTACTTTGATGAGTCAACTGATAAGTTAAAAATACGACATAAAGATAAAGTAGGTAATTACTTTTCTTCCCAAGCAACATAATTTAGTTTTTCTGTTTATACATTTTATTGCAGCTACAGAAGTTATTAAAAATATAGAAAAATGTATACGAAAGAAAGTTGTTTACAAAACCTCCACAAATATGTCAAATATTAGAAATAAAAACAAAACGAAATTATCAATATTCATTGAGAAGGAACGAAGTTAAGAAAGTAATATAATAATTATGGTATGGCAAAGTTTCAGTTACATTTTACTCACATTTACATTAAAACTAATACATATTACATATCTGTGTTCTGTTCTGTACTCAGACTATGAACGAACAGGTACAAAAAATGACAAAGAGCTGTAAAAAGATTTCTCGAAGATTCGTGACAGCGACATCAAAACGTAACAACACCAGCTCATCAAGCTAAACCATTCTAACAAACTTATGTATTACATTTTCAACCTTATCGTTTTGTAATAAAGTTGAGAAGAAGATAAGGGTAGCTATCGTATATAGAGATTTACGTTCGAATCGACGGCATTTTGAGTCTGAAACGATGATTCACACAAACATTCCGAGGTCGAACCCGGTCCCAAACAAGTGCAAAGCAAGTACAATAATTAATAGTTTTTACAACGAACTAATTCTTGCCGACCTATGCCTAATATGGAGTAGCGTTGACTGGTATACGCTGTTTGTCCTTATGCGTGAAGGGTACGTGCGTGAGAACTTTAACTTCAACTTTAGCAGATAATTAGATATATGGTATTAGAACAGCTGTTATAAAATAACCATCGAAGACGAAAAATTTAAGGTAAGCTAATAAATACTAGATGTAGGTATCATTAATAAGTATGGTGTAAATCTTAAAATTTACAAACAATCCACAGTATCTTAATTGTGTCGTAAGTGCCTGTGTCATATTTTCTCATATATGCGACATAATTATTGCTTACTATTATATTGAATCTGACAGCTTTTTTTACCATATTTTGCATACCAATAAACGGGCAAAATGTATACGGCCACTATATTATAAATCTGTAACAACCTATTTATAAACACCTACATTTTATGCAAATAAATGGTTTAATTTGATTTGAAATCTCTCCAAAAGAGAAATACAAAGATGCACTTATAAATCCACTTTTTGTCAAATATCTATGCAAATGTATGCATTCTGTCACATACAGCCACTAAAGGGAACACTCCCGAAACGCTCACAATTTTTTTTTACAATTTATAATCGTTTTTGTTTTCGTGTTATTCATGCAACAATAGCCTTGAGCAGTTAATTACAACTATTACACAAAAGAAACAATTAATTCCTTACTTTTATGAAAATAAAACTTTCCGTTTACACTCTCTATAAAACAATGACTGGATATTGGTCGCACAGGTAATCGCACCTGTTATCGGGCACGACGGGTTCGATTCCCGAATGAAACAATTTTATAGGTTACTGTTGTAAATGCAGTCGTGTCATGAAAGAATATATTAACATAACATAACATCAAGCCTTTTTATCCCCGAAGGGGTAGGCAGAGGTGCACATTTCGGCATTTAATGCCACTGTACAGTGTAACACCCACTTTTCACTATTTATGTTATGAGTCCCATGTAATAGGGGGTGAGCCTATTGCCATATACCAGGCACATTTCCAGACTCCGTGCTACTACTGAGATTTTTAAAACCCCAGTAATACTTTGCCCGACCCGGGAATCAAACCCGAGACCCCTTGCCCGGCAGTCGCACTTGCAACCACTCGGGCAACGAGGCAGTCAGAAAATACTATTGCGGTGCAATAGCACATTATTAGCATACATGAACGATCCATGAGATTTCACTGCTGGAATATGGTTTTACCACAAAAGAGAGGTTCACCTTAGCTTGGCAGAAGAGTTAGAGATCACACCTTAAAATTCAGAGAGTGCTGGTGCATGGTCTCTATTAAACAAGTAGTGCCTTCATCAGCTCTTACGAAGCCCGCAAGAAGACCAGTGGTAGTGACAATCCGTTCTACTCTCCCGTCCCCACACAGTGAACATTACGTACATACAAAGCAATAACTACTGCAGAAATGTCACTGTTTATGTTTGCTTGGAAGTTGTATTATAATAAACAGATTAAACTACGTACAAAAAACCGACTTTTACCCATCTTCTTTTTTTGAAGTCGGTTCATTAAACTGTCAAATACCAAGCGGTCACCGGTGACCGCAACCTATTATTCTATCATTGTGTCTACAAAACCGGTACTCGACGAGTTAATATACTAAAACCTTCTCCCAAGTGTAACCTACACTTTTCTAAAAACCGCATCAAAATCGGTTCAGTCAATCGGGAGAAAATCGCGCACCAAACAAACATACAACTGAGAACCTGCTTATAATTTATGTAGTTGGTTAAAAATATGTATTTTTTGGTCTACCTTACAATTGTGATTGTAATTTCTGTTTATTCAATAGTTTACCACAGTTGTTACATGATATGTATAATTGGCCTGTTATTGAGGAATCTAAATTCTTATCTATATAAATAAAAATGAATTTCCGTTCGTTAATCTCACTAAAACTCGAGAACGGCTGGACCGATTTGGCTAATTTTGGTCTTGAAATGTTCGTGGAAGACCAGGGAGGGTTTAAAATGTGAGGAAAAGATGTTAGGCGGTACCAAATTTGCCGGGTCATCTAGTGCTTTAATAAAAAGCTACTTACAGGTGATTCTTCTCTAGTGCTGGGTTCACTGTATGTGGAGTTGGCGTTGTTGTCCGCGTGCAGCTCACCGTCCAGCGGACTCGGACTCTCCTCGTGACCTGGGTCTGCAACCAATGTTGTATTACTTAAACTCCTATACAAACACCTATTATAAAAGCTAAAAAAAAATATCTGTTTTTTCGTTTGATGGGATAGTTGAATC